CCCTTTCGCTTGAACATGTTGCTCTTTTTTTAGAACTTGAAAAAACGACACATTCTGTTCTTGCCTATGCTGTCGTTTCTGCAACGGCCAAAACAGGTGTTGAAATGGAGGCAATCGCAGCAATCAATGCAGCCCTCCTCACTGTTTATGATCTCACAAAACCTGTAGAATCCGCTTTAAACATTTCAGACGTTCGCCTCCTTTTAAAAGAAGGGGGCAAAAAAGGCCTCTGGATTCATCCAGAAGGTCTCCCCCTTACTCTAAAAAGGTTTTCTACCGAAAATATCAGAACCTTCTTTAGAAAAAAGAACAGTCGCTGTTATCACATTAAGTGATCGTGCGTATCAAAAAGAATACGAAGATAAATCAGGATTGATTTTACAAAATAGCCTAAAAGGCCTTGGGTATACTATTAAAGAGTACAGAGTTTTGCCTGATGAAGCGTCCCTGCTGGAAGATAAGCTAACAGAACTTTCAGGGAGTGTAGACCTTATTATTACAACGGGTGGCACAGGTATTTCTCCCCGTGATATCACACCTGAAACACTTTCTAGACTTGCTCATATTGAAATTCCCGGAATTGGTGAGTTGCTCCGTAATACTGGTTCAAATTACATTTCAACTGCTTGGCTAAGCCGTTCTATAGCCGTTGTTATGAATAAAACACTTGTAATCGCCCTTCCCGGTAATCCCAATGCTGTAAAAGAAAGCCTAGAAGCCATCAAAAAAATTCTTCCCCACGCTTTAGACCACGTTCAAAATAAAAAAGAACTTCATATAATAGAGGATGTCGCATGATTGCTTATAATGACGCCCTAAAGATTCTCCTAGAACAAGAACCCTCCGCACCAATCGACATGCCGGTTCATAAATCTTGTGGTCATATTGCAGCAGAAACCATCACAAGTAATGTCTTTGTTCCTTCTTTTGCAAACTCTGCAATGGACGGTTTTGCGGTACGAAGCCAAGAACTTGAGCAAGCCTCTGAAAGCAGTCCTATAGAATTAAAAGTCTTAGGCAGCACCTCAGCAGGAGATCTTCCTGCACAAGGAGAATCTGATGCCTGGGAGATCATGACAGGAGCCCCTATCCCCAAAGGGTACGATGCTGTTGTAAAAATCGAAGACGTAAAAATTACACAAAGAAATACGGAAGGACGACCAGAAAGAGTTTCCTTCTCTGTTCCTGTCACAACCAAGGATAACATTCGCGATGCTGGAGAAGATTTTGTTCCAAACTCTCCAATTATAGAGTGCGGAATAATGATTACACCATTTCATACCATGGCTCTTTCTGCCGTAGGGCAGAAATCGATTTCTGTATCGCCCAAACCCAACATCACTGTTTTCACCACGGGCAAAGAAATCGTTGATGACCTTGTTACTCCTTTACAACCGGGACAAATTCGTAATTCGAATGCTCCCTATCTTATATCCGCATTAAAAGCCTTTCCTGTAGAGTCTCATTACGGAGGAACGCTTCCGGATAATCCGAAAATTTTTGAAGAAAACATTCAAAAAGCTCTTCCTCATTCAGATATCATTCTCTCCACAGGGGCGATTTCTATGGGAAGGCATGATTTTGTCCCCACATCGCTACGGAAATTAAAAGCTGAAATCTTATTTCATAAAGTTGCTATGCGCCCTGGAAAGCCTATTCTTTATGCTCGTTTTCCAAACGGCACCTTGTACCTGGGATTACCAGGAAACCCAGTTTCTACAGCTGTCGGCTTTCGTTTTTTTGTGGTCCCTTTACTCCATAAATTACTAGGTCTTGCCTGTGAACGTCCCATAAAAATTGCGATGTCTTCTATTTCTCCCAAAAAACTAGGTTTTCGCTTTTTTCGAAAAGCCCATGTATCCCTCACAAAAGAAGGGAAACTACGCTTCAAAATCTTAAAAGGGCAGGAATCTTTTAAAATCCATTCTCTTCTTCAAGCAAACTGTTGGGCTTCTCTTTCTGAAGAATCCGATGGATCCAAAATCGGAGAAATGACAGATATCTAACCCTTAATCCCTGGAAAATGGAGCTTATAGCTATGGAAATCACTCTTCAATTGTTTGGAGTATTCAGAACCCTTGGGGATCAACTGAAGCTTTCTCTTCAAAAAGGCTCAACTGTATCGGATATTAGAAAGGCCCTTCTTGATCAGGCTCCTCCCTCTGATATGTCTTTTAATAAAAAAGCACTGATCGAACAGTCTCGGTTTGCAACAGAAACAGAGGTATTATCTGAAGCAACACCATTAGAAGCCAGCATGGTTATTACAATTATTCCTCCTGTTTCTGAGGGTTAATCGAAACATGGAAAAAGTATTTGTTGATGTGTGGGATATTCACAAACGCCCCCTTGATATTAACGCGGGCTTAGAATTTGTCACACGTCCCCCCAATGGCGCAGAAGCGCTTTTTATTGGGACAGTGCGCCACCATAACCAAGGCAGGAAAGTATTAGGGGTTAGCTATGATGTCTTTGAGCCTTTGGCAAAAAAAATGTTCAAAGATATCTGCGAAGAAGCGCAAGAAATCTGGGGAAATGACCTCAATTTATATGTTGCCCACGCGAAGGGACGTCTACCCATTGGGGGGATAAGTATTGTGATTGCGGTCGGGTCTCCTCACCGAGATGAATCCTTTAAAGCCTGCCGTTATACGATCGAAGAAATAAAACATCGCGCCCCGATATGGAAACTAGAGCATTATGTAGAAGCAGATAGCCAATGGACACAAGGGTGTGAGCTATGCACATCATCT